CATGGCGGGTTAGGTAAATGTATTAAAGGAACCATGTTATGATTTACATTTACTGCAATTCTCAAGTCCACAATTGTATCCACATTGCCCGTCAGTTGTAAAAATAATCACAGTTCAAAGTCTGTGATATATTTGACGTATAGTTGATAAGGGTGAAACAGATTTTTCCTACAGTCACCCAACAAAGTTGGCTTCCTTGCACTGTTTATAGTACAGAAAGCTGGTAATTGCTGCATTTACTTACTTTGTCACACGCTTTATACTTTGTCGTACGGTTCATGATTTGGCGCACATCGTGATTCTAACCAAACAACACAAAACAGCGTGGTTTTGTTATGCACGTAATCTGGGTACGCTTGGAAATAGGTTGGCTACACTTAAATACAGGGTGACCGTTAAGTCTTAGGACGACTTTATAACTTTTAAACGACAAACGATATCACAACCACATTTGGTATACCGTTACTGGAAATTGTAAGCTACTTTTCTGTGTACATGGTGGTCGGATATCACCTTTGGGGTACGGCCCGTCGGGGGTCAGAAGAAAATCTTTAATGACAGCCTAGGTCTACTTCAACTGAAAACAATGCCGCAAACCGCACTTTTATTCTGCGCTAATTATATACTTATTCTGCTAAAATAAAGGTTTATTCTGCGCAAAATGGCAGATGTTCAAAGATTTTCAAAATTAGCCCATTTCTTTAAATTAAAACACTTTTTTAAATCTTTAATTAACTGTCATTATTTAACGGATGGTCCTTTTGAAGTACGGTTTGCGGCATTGTATTCTACTAATAAATACCTTTAATTTGATGTGCATATCAACCCATGCTTCCATTCAAGATTTACTTCCGACTCCTTGTGGGCCGTCGCCCTGAAGAGTTATTTGGATCACTGAATGTGAAGTTATGGGGATCATTTTAAAGAGAATTTTAAGTAAAGAAGAATGCCGCAAACCATACTTCAAAAGGACCATCCGTTAAAAAATGACAGTTGTTTAAAGATTTAAAAAAGTGTTTTAATTTAAAGAAATTGGCTAATTTTGAAAATCTTTGAACATCTGTCATTTTGCGCAGGATCAACCTTTTGAAGTGCAGTTTGCGGCATTGTTTTCAGTTGAAGTAGACCTTTAAAATGATGTACAACTCAACATAGGCTGTCATTAAAGATTTTCTTCTGACCCCCGACGGGCCGTCCCCCAAAGGTGATATCCGACCACCATGTACACAGAAAAGTAGCTTACAATTTCCAGTAACGGTATACCAAATGTGGTTGTGATATCGTTTGTCGTTTAAAAGTTATAAAGTCGTCCTAAGACTTAACGGTCACCCTGTATAATAATACTATGATAACTGTGTACTATGATAGCCTGTACTAATAACTACAGTTTGTTGCTTGAATTATTATTGTTCCTTATATCTTAACTCTTATTCCATACTATATCTAAGTGGGATAATGGAGGGATAAATATTTCAAAAAGTTCCCTCGCTACCTGCAGAACCCGCGTGGCAGTTCAAGTATCTCTGGACGGTCATAAAACTCGTGGCGGTTCAATATTCCCCGTCGGACTAGTTGGAAGGGTCGGGTCATAAAGCCACCTATTGTCCACCATTAGGGCGGCTCGACCCTCATTAGTGCCGCTCGGTCGCACTCAGTAAGGAATCTAATACCATAAAATAATTCTCTCAAGGAATAAAAATAGTTGAAAATAATTGTGATATTGAGATTTACCTTGAAATTTCGAGTATTTTTATGTAAAATTTGGAGTAAATCGGCCAATTTTCACATATTAATTTTTTCCAAAAGGGGTGTTTAACCAATAGTTGTCGAGTAGAGTCAAAATTTGCAAGAAGTAACTTGAAATTTAAAGACGATAAAATGATTATTTTCAATTGTTTTTATTCCTCGATTGAATTTTTATTCCTTGATTCGATTGACTAAGACGTCGTGCTGACTACGGCTCAGAGAAGCGTGTAGCCTATACGATTGTAAGGTTTTATAACGATTAAACATTATTTATCATGGATAAATTTCAATTGATTATGCCATTTTTATATTTATATATTTATCGGATTTGGATGTTTTAAAGTGATCACTGCCCTAAAGCTAACATAATTTGTTTGAAATTGGTATTGTAATATATCTAAATATTATACAGAAAAATCGGTTTAAATGTTATTTTTGGAGTTTATATAGGTGCGTTCGAGCCCAATTTAATACAACTCAAGTATTAGTACGTACAGTAATATCTCATTATAAAAAACGGTCATGGCGTAAAAAATTGACAAAAAAACAAGTACAATAACAATGCTAATAACATCAATATGGTCATTACTTACAACAATTTCCGGACTTCAAATTTACAATGGCATTCAGGTCAGCGTGATACGGAGGCAGACGAAGAACCGTATGACCACTGTCATTCCCCTCTAAGATTTCGTCTAGACTGTATCTCGTTGGTGGTTTATTTTGCTGGATTAGGTTGAGAAGCTCTGCCTTAAACATTGTTGGTGTGAAATCTATGTTGTGTTGAGTCAACCATGTTAAAGTGTTAAAGTTAAAGTGTAAAAACCCAGAGGTTGGGGCAGATTCCCCGATTCCCGAAAGGGTGACATGAGTCATAAACAAGCATCTGGCAACAAACACATTTCTCGATAAAGGAAAGAGAAAGCAAACCTCCTGCAACGTGTTTCCCTCTTACAAACCCCAAAACGCGACAATAAAAAGGTTTTACAAAAACACAAGTTCATTTCAGATCACTAGACTAATAATTCGTTTCTTTTAGACACCATGTTTCTCGTTCATACGATCGATTGATAGTCCAATTTATTTTGAGCGGGAGTTTTCATGACAAGATAACAAAGTTAAAAAGGTTTACACAATTTACGAGAAAATAGATCATAATGTTATATTTCTGAACACCACTTACCATCTTTTTTGTATTTTTGTCGTCTTGTGAGTAACAGTATAAGCGTAAATATATGTTTTAAGTGTTATAAGACGTATCTTTTATTTACTTTCCGTATATATATATTGTAATAATCGTATGGTTTTTAAATAACTCATATGTTTTGAAATCACAGATTTTTTAACTTTTTTATGATATAAATTTAACAAACTGTGTACAAATTTGAAACTTTGTAATATAACATTTGACAATACTTTCTTAAATTTGATAGGGTTCTCGTAAAAATTGAACGAACCGTTTTGAATGTGTGGGTGTGATACCGTAAACTCGAGTCTACACTATTTTTTCACGGGCAGTAGTTGTAGGAAACCTATGTTTTCAGGAAAGTACCCGCACTCCTCCCCGCGCCCATCCCATCGCCCGCCAATCCATCGGTCAAGATCTATGGCGACCCTTATAGTAATTTAATTTGATCTTCCATTGGGATTTGACATCCATTCATTAAGCTTGGAATTTCTTTTTATTTTTTCTAGATATTATGATAGTCTTAAAATTTTCTACATTGATTTCCAAAAAACATTTCAGTTAGTTAATGTGAGATATTTGTTAGGGCTATCTGCATATACTCAGTAGCTTGTGTTGCATTTTTGTTTGATGCATATACAGCGTCATCGTCTGCATATTGTAATGATATGACTCCATCAGGTAAACAATTATTTACCTAACCCACCATGTTAAACTTCCCTATTCCAAGCGTGATGTATACAACTTCTTTACTCCACGAGTGACGTAAAGTTGAAAAAACTCACTCGGTGAGGTAATGAAACCCATTAAAATAACATCGAGTGCTTAACTTAAAAAATATACCTCTGTTTAGTACTAGCAGTTTAGCAAATTTAAACTTACTAACAAAAATCTTTATGTTTGTTACAGATAAACATGAAAAACTATTAACCCAGGCAACCACAAGGTGATAAAAGGGTATTAAATTCAGAAGTTTGTGTACAATTGACTAGGTACATGGTGTTAAAAAAAAGGGGGGCCATTTTTTTGACACTTCAATCATCAAAATCGGTCCAAAATTGAGGGAGGATTTCTGTTCACAAAAATCGGCTTAGCGTATTATATATATAGAAAATAGATAGATAGATAAGATTAAAATATATTTATTAAAAGATTGTAAATTAAACATAGTGTTAAAAAACCAAAACAATATAAATTTGAATTTGATTTCTGTACATTTAAAATGGAGTCAACATTTTCATATCCCAGTAACCAAGCTTTGTATTCTTAAAAAATATGCAAATATTTTTAGAATTACTATTCATCCCTGAAAGCTTAGAGAAGATTCATCCAGACTATGGTCTTACTGAATCGATGTCCCAATGTAAGTAATAAAAGTTCAAGCATATTTGAAATGTTTGTGTAATCTATACGGCTACACATTTTTATTCAATGTTAATTATATCAAAGATTTATCATTGTTAGTCAACATTGCTCAGGTTTTAGTTTGTTGTTCTTGTTGTCAAGTTCTTTCTATTAAAGTAGTAATCTTAGGCCCCATTGCATGTTTGGCTTGACCCTTAGTTATAGTAACATTGAGTAAGTATAAAAAAATAATTTTAAATTGGTTTGTTTGGACCGTTGGAAGCAAAATAAAATAAATAATAAATAAAATAAAATATACGATAATTAGGTAGATCAGGAGAGACTGTACAGGTGGAACTGAACTGTAGGATTTAATTTATAAACGATTGTATTGTACCTCCACCTCTATCGTTATTTGATTTTATATAACTAATAATAATATTAGTTATAAACCAGTTCAGGGGCAATTCCACATCTTATGATGTCATAACTATATGATTTTATATAACTAATGTAATCAGGAATAAACTTAATTCAACTTGTGTGATTTTACCTATTAAATATCATATAGACAGGCTAATGGGAGAAAATATGCGTCAGATTACTGATACTGTTTATTTAATTTGAATTCATCCACAAATTTTGAATAATAACTCTTGTTTAATGCTCAATTAGTTTTGGTTAGTTTGTAGAGGTATATTAAACACTGTACTGTACAACAATAGTCACAAAACTGTGTTGGTATATTCTCTTTACAAAAATTGAAAAAAATATGGTTTATAACACATATTGCAAAATTTATGATTAAATCATCACAGGAAAAGCTTAATATTTTAGTAGAGCAGTTGTCTGTGGGGTCCATTAAGAGGCAACTCTGACTCCCAAACATGCATTCTCTGAGGGTAGGGAAGTCCTTCCTCCATTTTAGGAGGGTTTTTAAGCCTCAGAAACTGAAGATGACCCTGGGCCATTGGTTGCCATGTATCACTAGTTTCAGAAAGTGATGGTGTTCTGAAAATAGTATTATTCACATTAACTTAGTGGCATATTAACACAAGTACTCACCTTAAAAATCAATCAATTTAAAAATGCAGTAAAATGGCATTATATTTCTTAATTGTTAGGTTTTTATACCTTTAAAAATCAACCTCCTTATAAGTCAGTGGTGTAGCCCGTATTTTCCTTTTGGGGGGGCCAAAACCGGGAGGGTATGAAATACCCTCCAGGATGAAGGGGCGGTTCAGAGTCTCCCCAAAATTTTGGTATTTTTTTGTTGGTAATTTTGGTAGGTTCTAAAATGGACTTTATAACTCCTCTGAAGGCTCTAAATTAGAGAATAGACTTGGTTACCTTTAGTTCAGAAATATTTATGGACAAGGGACAAGTAACCAAAACATTATTACTATTCAATTTGTATACACTGATTTAAACGTTTATTTTGAATGCAAATATATATTGAGGTAACAACTGTATTATCTACATTCCTAAAGAAGGCCAAGTAAAGAAGTAATATACATAACCGATACAGTTTAACCGTTTCTTAATAGTTAAAAAAAAAATTTTGAATGTATTGGTATACCACTTCAACCCTTATCTTTATGTCCTTCCATAAAGTGTTTTTGAGGGAACGGGTTGTTTTTTAAGTAAAGATAATATAATACAGCCAATAAAAAAATTCTAACTAGCCAATACCCTTCTAAACACATAAAATAACTACCATATAAAAAGCAAATAATGACATAACAAAAAAATTGTATTATAACTAGAGGTGTACCAGCCTGAGATTTTTGATCAAGCCAAACTGGAGGTAATATCGTAATGTTCGTAATCGTAATGTAAAAATATCGTAATAGCGATACATTATCGTAATGTTCTGGAATCACAGCAAAATCTTGAATATCCTCCTCAGGCATGGAAACACCATCATCGTCTCTCGCAATCACAAAAACCTTATCGAAGTCCCCACGATCACGGTAAAATCACGAACATCCCCGGTCTCCCACAGTCATGTGGAAATTATCCTAGTCTTCTGCTATTGCGGCAAAATTCTTATAATCTCCTACGGCCTTGTCGAGATCATCTTTCATTTCCCGCGGTCATAGAAACAATACCGTAGTCTTGCAAGATCACGGGAAAAGCAGTAATTTTTCGATCACGCAATCTTTGCAAAAGTATCTATCTGATATCGGTACCGGAATCAACTTTTGGGGTAGCGGATTTCTACCCCCGGATATTTACCCCCATGAAAAAACGACTACGTCATTTTGACGTCACAAGGGGCGGGGCCTATACACGGTCGAGACACTGCCCGCGACTGGAAATCTACCCCCGGACATATACCCCCAGACATCTACCCCTGGACATCTACCCCTGGACATCTACCCCCGGAAATCTACCCCCCGTGGTCAACTCTGCCACGTATCGGCCAATATTCATTGTTGTAATTGATTTTATTAATTGCTTTATGTAAAGCAACGGCTCTTCGGTTAATCATTACCCTCTAATATCTGGTATTTAAGCATGTGATATGTCATTGCCTTGATTAACATTATCTATCATTTTCTTCCTAATGAAATAAGCTGAAACAGCCCTTTTTCACCCGAACTACTTCACCGATTTTTATGATTGAGGTGTAATTTTAAATCTTAAGATCCAGCGCAACGCAAAATGGTAATTAAAACGATATTTCGATAAAGGGCTTCAAAAGTTTTACCCTTAAGCATTTGATTTATTTCCAAACAGTCATTTAAATGGTTGACCAACTTTCACCTTCACATACAGTAACAGCTAACGGCGCATGCATGAGCGCAGATTGTGAAATTTAATATATATCATTGAAGGAGGTTATTTTCTGATTACTAGAGGTAAAAATACATTGCAATTAAATGTTGATAAAAAGCCTGCCACTGGTTGATCAATATATTAATTAATTATTTAATTATCAATTCCTCTCTAGTAATAGGAAGTAGCCTAATCCCATGGTCTGACTTGATGGCTTTATAGATTTCAATCTCTTCAATGCTATTTAAAAAACTTCCTTTTCTTGGCCAGAGACTCGTGTAATTAAGGTTTTATTTATTAGATGGTCGATGAATGTTGATTTTGAATCTGATTTTTTACTGGATGGGATGGGTTCTTTATATCTTATATGAAATAAACGAGTTGTTTGGCCTATGTAATATTTTTCACAGTCATCGCACTGGAGCTTGTAAACCCCAGTTTTGTCCTCCTTCCTGATTGTTTGTTTATTATTATTTTCCTTTAGCATTGAGCTCAGTTTGTTGTTTGCTTTAAAATGAAACTGTGACATTATTTTTTGCCATTTTCTTCTAAGGACGAATCTTATTGAGACTGTTGTTCATTAGGTTGAGCTGTCTGATAGTAACCCGACTAACCCGACATAAAAATTTAAAACCCAGACCAATCCACCCACCCTTGAAAATGTTTTGAAAAAATAAATAATAATAAAATAATAATAATAAATAATAAGGAAAATAATAATAAACAAACAACCAGGAAGGAGGCTGTAACTGGGGTTTACAAGCTCCCCCAGTGCAATGGCTGTGAAAAATATTACATAGGCCAAACAACTGGTTTATTTCATATTATATATAAGAAACCCATCCCATCCAGTAAAAAATCAGATTCAAAATCAACCTTCGCCAACCATCTAATAAATGAAACCATAATTACATGAGTTTTGAGAAGAATTTAAAAGTACTGCATTTCTGCCCAAGAAAAGGAAGTTTTTTAAATAGTATTGAAGAGTTTGAAATCTATAAAGCCATCAAGTCAGAGCCCCAAAAACTTTTAAATGAACAAACCTTGTTTAAATCGAACATAATATACGACGTGGCGATTTGCACCTACAATAAATGAAAGGCAAAAATACAATCGGCATTGTTCTGGTAACGGGAGGGGGCAGCAAGGTCAGCCACAACCCCAGTCATGGCAAAACGTTTGCCCGTGTCCTGTGTCGTGTGTGGAACTAGTTCCCGAATTTATAATAATCGTCTGTCAATATGTCTCGTGTTTTATTTATTTAAGTGTTAGTGTTTTTGTGTGTTTCTAAAACTCGACGATCTTGCAAGAATGACAACAAAGAGCCTGATGATAAGGTTATAACCTTGAAACCAGTTGCTCAATACAACAAATTTAGGATCATGACAGAAACAGGTAATCTTACCATTTTAATATCCAAGAAGTATTCCTGGACCAAAGAACATCAAAATATATCAAAAATTTTGGGGGGCCCTGAGGACCTTCCCCCTGGATTACCCTACTGGTGTAAGTCCTTTTTCATAACTCTTTTTGTTTGAAACTAACTCTTGAGTTTTGAAAATAATTTGGTAACTTGCAAACTTATGAAAATTAATCAAATCTTTATTGTAAAAAATTAAAATAAAATATTTCTATGGCCTATGTCATAACAAACTTATATTTAATACCTTAATTGTTATTTTTTAATACCCTGGAAGTAACCTACAGGTCTTCCATGTCAATGGTAAAACAGTTCAAATATTGACATCATACATTGCCTAACCTGTTCACAATTCAACTATAATTGGTTGGTTAACCCTGTTAAACAAAAACTTATCGACCAATACTAGTTAATCTCATACCCACAACTGATATTACAAACACATATTTCACATTATGGTCCATATGGCATTGATGGTGTCTTGATTTATTAATCAATCACTGATAATTATTGATCTGTAGTACCGTATATCGAGAAATTCAATTTTAAACTACAGTTAAAATCTTTTAATATGCCCTAACTTGGTCTCAAACGTAGTTACTATGTAATTTGAAGTAGTCAACTACATTACTATGAAAAGTATAAACATATTTTCTATATGTTTACAAGAGAGATGAGAGCAAGTCATACTAGACTCACCCAGTCTTAGCAAAGTCTGTGTAGATGGATGTCAAGGTACGGACCATGTAAGCTTCAGGATCTGTCTGATTGAAAAGTGGTGATCTGTTTGCACTGAAGAAGAGGTACAACAAGTCATCGTGGTGTCCTACTCCTGGGAAATATAACGATACATTTTATGTAACATTTGTAGACTATTTTGATACTTGATTTTCTCTAGAATTAAATCAAAATTTATAAGCAATACAAATAATATTAGCTCCTCAAACCTGCTGACTTAGCAAATTTCCATTTTTTGACCCGATTTTCTCTGAAATATACCATTAAACATGTTAGATTATTTGTTTATGTTTGATGGAGTGTTTCGTCTTGGTGACGTTTGAGTACACTGGTGTCAACTCAATGTTTCACTCTTATTTAAGGGTAGATTTTACAATTTGTATGCACTTTTGTATAGTTAACATAATTTGGACAGCTGTATTCAGGGAAATGTCTATCATAATAAATTAAAATTCCACCAAAACTTTAATAATAAAAGCCAAAATTAGTTGTACATAAAACATGAGTTTCCTATATATTGCTTTTACAATCAAAATAAACTATACCAAAATATGGCTTGGTCCCCTGATACAAACCCTCCAACAAGTTAATTACAACAGTTTACTTATTCTCCATGAGATTAACATGGGAATTTTAAATTTATAGTTTTTAAAATTTTCTCTCTGACTGTTAGATGTACAACGCCATTCAGTGTATTAAATTATTTGTTTTTTTTTCTCTACAAAATGGTTTGGAAATAAACTAAGAAATGTTATATTTTGAGGTTCAAAAATAGGAAAACCCAATTTCTACCCCATAACACCTGTTCCCATAGTCCTATCATGCTGGTTTGCCAACTCAACTTGTTCCAATAAACGAAGGTTTACCGGTTTGTATAGAATTTCATCACAGTCGGATTATTTTTCATAAGTTATCATGCTAATGGACATCATATGAATTTGAACATATAATGTTCAAACAATGTTGTAAGATAATTTACAATGTTGAGGTGTTACGATAATAGCTTAACTATTATATCTGAAATTTGCATAAAGGGGTAGAGTAGTTAATAATTAACCAGAGTAATCAGTAACAGCAACAGGCTTGCCTTATGAGTATATTGGATGGATATCAATACTGATATATTTATATAAATAAATAATGAGATTGTACGTTTGTATGTCCAACTTAGGGGTGCATTTGCAAAAGACTATTCCAACTTTTATTCCCACTGTTTCAGAAGGCCAGGACCGTAGCTTTGCAATTTTTGTCTCATCGCGGCCTTCTATTAGAGAAAACTATGGTTCTACCAAGAGGTAGCTACAATGCATCTTTTCTTCTATGATTGATTTTGAACACTGCAAGTAGGCTTCAAATCCTAAAGTAAAAGCTTGTACCTTTTTTGGGTTTCATGCCTGCTTATGATGGAAAGACTTGATGTTGGCAAAATTTTACTGTTATCTTGTGACTTGCACTTGACATAACAAATTTTACATTGTGATAAATTTAGTATTTTTGTTATGCTACACAGCATTTAAAATTAAACTCATCAAGAATATAAGCATGACTTACCATAAGGAATGTTGGTGCCTAATTTGTATCTATAACTATATCTTCCATCAAAATCAAACAAATAGAAGTAAACTGGTGCTGAACTTTTTTCTGCTATAAGTTTCCCAGCTTGGTAAACAGAGAAGATTATCAATGAATCAGCATACAGCTGTGGACAGATTACAGAGTAAACACAGAGAAGGAAGATGCTTATGGGATGACAGTGCACTTTCAACTTTGGTATGTTGTGTCAGAAATATACTTGTGATAAGCAAAGACGAGCCCAAACGGAGAGCACTGTGCAGAAATTCCTATCGCACAGGGAATAGGTTCCTCACTCACTGTGAGCGTTGTAGTACATGATGGCGAGGGTTGGGTGTTGAAAATTGCCCTAGACACCAGAACTAACTTCAGACACCACTTAAGTGTACCATATTAAATGTATCCTTTGTACTTTACATCTCTGTAGAGTGGATAAAGGAGTTAAGCCTCATTGAAAAAAAACCTTTTTAGTTCACAATAATCTGATCAATAAACAGTGTCATCAAACTGACACATACTTTCTTTCATTAGCTTGTCAACAAATCTTATAATGGGTACAAACGGTTGGAGTAACTGTGATATTTAATAACAAAATTACAAAAATTACAATAACTTTTGAGCTGTAATTTTTACGGAAATGGGGGTTGTACAGTTTCTCAACCTCCTCAGACCCATAGGAAAACTGAGAATTTTATTTTTGTAATTTTTGTGTATATTTAAAGGAAATAAATAAAGTAAACAAGAAAAAATTTTTTTGGAATTTTTTTTTTATTAGAAATGTACAAAACAGCATGTAACCTATTGGTTACATCGGAACTCGACCAAACTCATTTTTTTACACACGTAAATCTTTAACTTAGGAACCTGGTCATTATAACTCATGAAACAGTTTAAAACAGTTCCTATTAGAATTTAGACATAAGAAAACATTGCAGGTGCTGCATTTAATGCGACATTTAGGACTGTCACATCCTGGGAACCGACATCTAGAAGGCTTCACATCTGGAGGAATTTCCGGTAGATGCTGAACCTTGCTCTTCCGGACAGCATCTGTTGGCAAAGGAGTTTTCCTTCCCGAGGAAGAGGTTAGAGGCTGTGGATCATCCTCAATCTCCTCATCGTCCACTGGTTCTTCAGTTTCTGACGCCAGCAGGTGTTGAGCCACATCAAAACGAAAGTCGAAAAAATCAAACCTGTCTCTTCGAGGAGTTCCAGCTTGTTGATCGGCTCTTCTTCTCTCAATCCACCCAGCTGCCAGAGAGAAATCAATCAGATGGCTAATTAGCCTAGTGGTCCATTTTTTCGTCCTAGCAGCAATTCTATAATAGGATATCATCCTATCTAGAAGGTCGACGCCACCCATGCATTCATTGTATTTCTTTATTATGTAAGGTCTTTCGACTTGTACATACCTTTTTTCCTTCTTGCACCACCGTCGACAAACATCTTTTGGCTCGCAGCCATGTATGCTCGATGTCAATAGCACCGGTTTGTTGTCGAACCATTTGACGATGGCTATTTGTCCATCATCTCGAACTATTTGGCACATATAGCCTCGACCACCTCCCCTCACCTCAGCGTCAGAGTACATTTCTCTGTTTTCTGGCATTCTGTCATTTATAAGTGTGCCAGTACCTTGAAAACCCCTGATGTGAAGTTCATCAAGTAGTTGTATAGAGGTAAAATACCTGTCCATAAAAATTGAAGTACCTTGCGGAAGATTCTTTGACAGCCTTACAATAATTTTACCCCCTATATCTAAACCAGGATAGTTCAGTTCAGTTTCGTGCAAAATACTATCTCCTTTGCCCTCGTATAGGAAAAAATCCAGTGGCAGCCCGTCTGGAGCACATACAACCAAGTTTTTTAGGCCACAGGGGTTAGGTTTTCCTTTTATGTGCTGCCTCATTTGTGTGTGACCCCAGAAAGGCACCATTTGCTCATCCATCGATACCTCGTTGGGTCGAGGGTTCAACAAACAGCTAGCTCTGACACTGTCAATTACTGGAGACACTTTCCAATACTTGTTTCTTGCCTTTTCTTCATCGCTTACGTTAGTGTAATCACGACACCTTATGTGATTTCTTATAAGAAAGTACTTATTTCTCGGCATGGCATCACTAATTTGCGGAATCCTTGTTCGAGAGGCCCAGTACATCTTTATCCTGGGATATTTCAAGTACGACATCATTATTGTGATACCAAAGAACTTCTTCATGTCTGTAGTTGTGATTTGTATTTCTTTACCAGTGGAAGAAATTATATTTTCATTAGTTGCTGTAGCAATTTGACATAGTATATCATCAGGTATGTACTTTTGAAAAAGATCTAATGGCGACGACATGTTATATTCAGGATTATGGCCTCCAAAATAAGGTGCAGGTGGCAAAGGGTAAAAGTTGTTGCTTACCTCCCATTTACCATTAGTTGGCAACGGTTCCATTGCCCTCAACGTTTGTTCACGTGGGTTTGGTCGAATTGACTTACGACGCTCTGCTCTTGGTTTTTTTGTCTTAGTGGGTAGGCCTACCTTAGCCCGTTTCCGACTGGAAACTCTAGATGGTGCTGGGCATCTTTTAGATTTATTCAAATTTTCACCAGAAGGCCCAGGGACTGGCCCTACAGATTGAGTCGGTTGAAAACACAGAGGTGTGTTACCTTCATTGGTTGGTGTTACCTCGGTTGGTGTCAAACCATCAGCTTCGTCAACATGAGGTTGTTCCACGATGACTTCATCAGGTTCGTCAACAGCTTCTTCAAGAAGGTCTTGGTCCTCTTCAATTCCAAGTAAGATATCGATTCTCGGAGGTGCAGAAACTTCAATTGATCTTCCATCATCGTCGTCTGATAGGTCTTCGACGTCTGTTAGCTCGCTAAAGTCGTAGTTGTCGCAAAACTCCTCTAAAACCCCTGTAAAATAAAAATATATTACTAATAGGATAAAAGCATACACATAAACAAACACACACACACACTCACACACACAAAAATCAGACATAACACATGACAAAAATCCATAATAATAATATTACATGTAAAGATGCCCGAAACATAGAGTTCCAACGTAACCAATCGGTTACAACAAACTTTCAGGGCCATTACTGCTGACTAAATAAATATTTATTCTTTGTTTGACAGTTCCTATTTCACAACCATATGTTTAAGATTATTGTAATTTTTGTTGAAAGATTTACACATACTAAAAACAATAATAATAATTTACTTACTTTGAGTAGAACTGGGATAAGCCTGAAACTCGCGATCCGCCATCTTTCATTCTGTAAAATGAACTGAAGATGATGAAATAATGAAATATAAAAATTCCCAGTATGTGCTGCAACCTAGCGGAGACAGCGGGAACTACTTGCAGTCATCTAACTCTAACAGAACATTGTACAGATTTCGCTAAATATTGTAACCTATAGGTTACGTGGGAACTGAGGAGGCTTTAGAGTTAAAAGGACTATAACATAATAAATTTAAATCAAAATTGTTTGAGTAGTTTTTGTAAAAATTCGATTTCACTGAATCTGAATTGTTATGGAGAAATAAGCACCAATAAAATCAAAATTTCTAAAAAATAAAAAAAAACCACCTGGAAATACTATAGATTAGGTACTAAAAGGATTAATAACACGAATACTGGAACAGACCCAGTATGGATCATATAGTCCAGTGAATAGAGGTACCTATGTTAACTTACAAACAGTCGGGTAAGTCAAACTTTTTTATAAGTTCTCTAGGATGGTAAGTAGGTGTTTAAAATTAAAAATAGACAATTTTCCCCCCTCCTATATCGGTAGGTTTCTCCGCCGCCATATTGAAAATTTGAAAAAAATCTGTACTTTCTAGAGATTTTCGCCTATATCTCCATTTTGGTGCGTTTTAGCGAAAGATATGTAATGTCAATGTTGTAGACATTTAAATTTCCTATAACATAAGTATAACAATTTGGTTCTAAGACTTATGGATGTACAAAAATATTACAATTTTTGTACAATAAAACGTCAAGTTTTTTGTTATTTTGACAAATCTCTATTAGTCCAAGCAAATTAAAAAAGCTGACACAGGGAATGTTTAAAATAATTGCAAGAAAAAACGTTTTATGGTTTTATTTTGTAGTGTTGGGTCTGTAGAGAAGTAAAAGTTGAATATTAAAAGTTGCCAAAAATCGGTCTACAGAAAACCTCCTAAAATCACAATTAAAAATTACGACTTTTCCAACATTGGACAAATTTGAAAAAAATATTCCACATGCATATTTTATTCAAAATTTTTTGAGATATTGACTTGGGATGACCACCCAAGTTTATTGAAACATTCATTTACATTTACATTACTTCATTTACATAGGGAACTCATCTTTGGCCGCCATCTTGGATCCGGCATATTGAATATAAATAAAAAAAAATTAAATGTAATGATAACGTTGTGACACATCATTATAAACTAGATTTTCACGCTGATTTTAATGCCGAAATCTGTTTTTAAATATCTGTTTACGTTTTGAAGATTTATTCAAACGAAAACTCTCCCCCATACATTTCTTTTGGACGTTTCGTACATTGAAGATTTTTATAGATTATTTTTCTTGTATCTCCAGTTCTTATCAACGCTTGCAGTTCAGTCTAGCCTTTAAATATTCTGTGATGTAAGGGCTTTCATTTGACCTATTGATAATTCAAATCGAACGAGTTAGCAACGAGATACAATTCCCAAAACAATATGAAATTTAACTTTTTTTAAATTTTTATCCCGCATTGTTAATACATCACCAAGTTCTTTGTGGTATCAAATTACTCATTTATTGTTTTGATTAAATTTTATTAATCATTTAATAAAATCTGGCAAATTTAAAATGAGCAGAATGCCTTCATTTAACATAAAATTATTGTTATTTTGAAATTTGTCTTTAATTAAATACTTATATCCCCAATTATAAATAACTCCAAAAACTCTTTATGGTCATAAATAATTCGTCAAAGTATTGACTTTTATTTTAGCTAAAGATTACTTATTGATTGTTATTTATAATTGGGTATATATGTCTTAAGCCAAAGACAAGTTTCTAAATAAAAATAATTTAATGTTAAATGAAGGTCCACGACTCCCTTTAGATTAGTCAGATTTTATAAAATTAAAAGATAGATTAGTGATTAATAAAATTAAAAGCAAAACTTTACTAAGTACATTAGTGATTCAAAATCAGAAAGAACTTGGTGACGTATTAACAACTCGAGATATAAATCTTTTAATAAAAAAAGATTTCTAAAAAGTTAAATTTAATATTAGTTTCTTTGAGGATTGTAGCTCGTTGCTAACTCGTTCGATTTGAATTATCAATAGGTAAAATGAAAGCCCTTACATCACAGAATATTTAAAGGCTAGACTGAACTGCAAGCGTTGATAAGAACTGGAGACATAGGAAAAATAATCTTTAAAAATCTCCAAAGTACGAAACGTCCAAAAGAAATGTATGGGGGAGAGTTTTCGTTTGAATATATCTTCAAAACGTAAACATATATTTAAAAACAGATTTCGGCATTAAAATCAGCGTGAAAATCTAGTTTATAATGATGTGTCACAACGTTATCATTACATTTAGTTTTTTAAATTCATATCCAATATGCTGGATCCAAGGTGGCGGCCACAAATGAGTTCCCTATGTAAAATAAGTACTAACCACCCAATAAACTTGGGCTGTCATCCCAAGTCAATATCTCAAAAAAATTTGAATAAAATATGCATGTGGTAGAAAGTACTGATTTTTTCAATTTTTCAATATGGCGGCACGGATGGGGGAGAATTGTGCATTTTTAATTTTAAACACCCTACTTACCATCCTAGACAACATATAAAATATTTAGACTTACCGGACCGTTTGTAAGTTAACCCCTCTATTTTCGTCTCTATTTACTTGACTAATAATCATAATCTACAAATGATGTAACTGTCCCGAAAATAAACATAATTTAACATTGCTGCATTAACTGTCTAAATCATTATGTTAATGCTATTAGTATAGGAATTGGGTCAGCAACGTCATTTGTTTATGTTTATGATCTATATCGGTTCTGTTCAAGTATTCGTGATTATTATACCCAAATAACCTATTTCATCAACATTATTGGAGCACAGGTGTGGTCAGTCTGTACACATTCACAGAATCATACAGGCACACACACACATTAAATGTTTTTTTACTTTTTGGAGTTTTTGGGGAAAAACGGATATTTCCACTCAAACTCTAAAATTTTGACGAAAACAATACTTTCTCCATATGAAGGGAGAGCAATACTATTTATAGGGGGAGGAAGTAAAAGGGAAGCTTCAATCTTTAGTCTTTTTGGTGAAAATTAAAGAAGCAAATTTTTTATAGTTTTTGGACTTAAACCAAACGCAACTTCCCAGATTATAGAGGCGGATCCGCTAGCATTTTGTGCATGTCCGCTTAATTATTAATTATATATAAAGCTTATAATTATAGCCTACCCATTATAAGTGGATATATCCGCCTATAATTTTGGCTCCGTGTAAGGTAGGCGGATATATGGAAAAAATATTTTGGACAAAAGTGCTGCATAGGTAAACTATTTACAACTTTCTATAAAATACAGATGCATAAAAGATATTTTTCAGTTTTTTTAAAATTAATTTTGCATACATATAAAGTTTTAGGCCGTCCAGGAAAGGGTAAAGTTCTTAAATCATACAAATTTTAAGAATACTGGAGTTTTGATTGCTTAGTAGCTTTTTTTTTGTACTGAAAATTTATTTGGTAGCTATTTTAATTGTGTTATATTACAATTAATATTTAACAGTATACTTAACCTCCCCCAGTTCCTTCTCACTGTGGTTCCCAATTGGCTGATTATGGAAGTAGAAGTCTTTGAAAGCATCACTGATATGTTTAGACACTATACGAGGTTGCCTCGGATAGTGAAACTCCCATGGTGCAATATCATCAAACTCTGTATTAATACGATGTACATACGTCTCGTTGGTTAGCAAGTCTGAAATACAATTTATAAAGAAAGGTAACATTTTAGTGCTTATAATAAAAAATAGCAAAAAAAAAAACAGCAAACCTGCTTAATCTGCAGGTTTGCTTTTTTTCCACTATTAGTGAGTTCTTATTTCCCTAATTTGATTATCAATTTTAATGACATTAGGTTTCATGAGTACCTAGGTTTGCTGCTACAGTGAGATTAATAAAGTGAGTTTTTATTAATAGCTTAATTTAAAATAAATAAATTTGCGACGTTTCATTAAAATATAATCACAAACATGCAAACTACAACAGTTTATGTACTCTCCGTAAAAATAACATAGGAGTTTTAAATTTACAATGTTTTGAATTTTCTCCGTAACCAATAACCTTATAAAAACACTTCAATTATTCACTAAATTATTTGTTTGATTAAGATCTTCAAAATAGTTTAGAGAAAAATTTGGGAATTTCATGTTTTGAGGGTCAAAAATGAGGGTCAAACATAAGAAAACCCAATTTTTACCCCTTAAATCACCCCAAAAACCCCGTTGCCATGGTCCGACCATGCTGGTTTGCGAACTTGTTTGAAGAAACGTAGGTTTAACAAGGACAATACAAATAAAATAAAATAAAATAATTATATATTGGCCTTGTTGAACTTAATTATATAAATTTAATTATACACTTCATTATTTTATCCTTTGATAATTTTGACTGAACTTTTATGAAAGTTGGCATGATGGCATGTTTGTAATGGTAGAAGATACCAATTTTTTATGCGAACTAGCATGATCGGACTATGGGAACAAGGGTTTATGGGGGGTTTTATGGGATGAAAATTGGTTTTTTCTCATTTTGGACCAAAAAACATAAGATTTAGCAATTTCTTTCCAAACCATATTGTGGAGCTTAAAAAAACCAAATAATTTAGTATATTGAAGTGTCATTATGTGCCAAAATGTTACCGAGAAAAAAAACAATTAAAAATTAAAATTCCCACGTTATTCTTATGGAGAATAAGTAAACTGTTGTATTTTGCTTGTTTGTGAACATATTTTGATCAAATTTGGAAAATTTATTCATTTCATACTAAACTATTAAGCTATGTTTCATAAAAAAAACACGTTTTTACCCTCCCTGTTGCAGCAAATCTAACAACTCGTTCAACAAAAATGCTATTTAAATGGGGAATAAATGTGATATTTTTAAGGAGATATTTTATAGTAAATCCAATCAGGCAAATGGAAACTCGCTTGGTCGGCAGGTTTGCTGCAGCGGGTTATTATAAGGTAATTGGTTACGGAGAAAATTCAAAACATTGTAAATTTAAAATTTCCCATCTCTTACGGCCGCCATCTTGACGATGTCATTACAGAGACCGAGGTCCTTAAAAATTGGTGTCTGGTCAGTTTTAGGTTCAGAAACTTGTATACTATAACCAGCTAAAATTGCAGCCTCCCCGCTAGAACTGAAATATTCTGCCACTATATGCAACTATACAACCCCACTAATATATTTTTCCCCATCAAACATATGATACAGGTATGTATAGTTTTTGTTTATTTGTTTTTTGTCAAACTAGGTAATTTTGATGAGCAGGACAAACTAAAGTACAATCGTAATTAAATTACTTCGTACCCCAATTACACAATTTAGTTACATAACATTGGTGACAACATGTACTTATTACAAACATGACTATATAGGCAGTAACTCTAATACATACATTGTGCTCTCCAGTTAAACTCATCTCTTGTAAAACCGGTTATAAGTGGCACTTGAGTGAACTGCTTGGTTCTTATCAATTCAATCGGATCTTCTGTCAGGAAGGAGTTATTTCCTTTGTGCTTCTCTACAACCGGTGCAAATAAGGAAAATGGAGGCTGCAGGGTATCCTGTAAAGATAAACATCAGATTCACTTAGTAGTTGTGTTTAAATATGATTATACATTATGCTTAAGTTAAGTGGTATGAGATTAGAATATCCAGAAAATGTTGTTTCCAGCTATTTGCACATAGGGGTGAGGAGCTCGGCAGGCCGCGAAAAGGTATAATTAGTTTTAAGTTTGAGCCATTGAACAATCCAAGACACGTGAGTCATGCGTATGTTCAAATGCACATCATGCGGACCAAAGGGAAGAGGACGGAGTCGGTGCCTAGTGATCACTCAGAGAAGGAACAATGAACATGGCTGGGTACAGTTCGGCCAAAGGTTCTGTGTGCGCGACCAGATATGGTTGGGTCTACGCGAGGGAGTTGGTGGGGGTACTTTTGTGAAAACATTTGTGTCTTGCTAGTCACTCACCCCAACCCCCAGCACTGCCAATAATCGGTACCCGTAAGTTTTAGTTTGAATAGTAGTGACCCGTCCGCGCGCATAGAAGTTTTGGCCAAACTGTAACCTGTGTGGGATGGGGGTAAGACCCTGGTGAGGTATAGGTTAATTAGTATTATTCTAAATGTTCACTATTATTCATTTCAGCTACAATTATTTAAGATGTCCTGTTTGTATTTCAAATGTCAGTATTTCATATATCAAATATTGAACTAAATTGTGTTGGCAAAATTTTGTCTGTTAGCTAACACCTTGGATAATGATTGATAAATCCATAGTAAATTGTTAATGTTTCCCTACCACTGGAAATGATTACATTGCCATTCATCCAGTAAACAGTACGCAAAATAGTTCATTGCTGCTCTATCAGCCCGTTTGTTAAATCAGCTGATTTCACACACCAACTATATAGCCACGGATCCGGTAGGCTAGTTAATCGGTAAGCAAATAACATATAACCTTAAAATACAAACATAATCTAAATTACATTTTATATACATCTAAAAAGTTAATCTGTGAGTGTTGTTATAAGTTAGTTGGTAGGAAAAATCTTGTGTGTATCAAAGCACAAACAGTCATTGCCGCTCTCAAATTTAGCCTATTGCCAGTTTTTGAGAGGCAATGACGTACTTTGCGCTCTTAATACACAAAATAGCTATTAAAGTTAATGTTTAAGCTCATCAAAGCTGGCCCATTGGGCCTGAGATTCATGGTAACATGACCATTATTTCCTGCGATCACGGAAGCGTAATTGTTCTCGATCACGGCGAAAACGTGATCTTAAAGAATGCATTTTGTGACAGCCAAAACATTGCAATTGTAATCCTCTGGTATAATAATAAGTTCAGAGCCCGTTTCCAGTCAGAATGGTAATTTAAGCCCATTCATATACAGTCTATATGACCACAGGAGTAAATGGCAAAGTGAGACTCAAACCTGAGATTGCCTATATATGTTTATTATCTGATTCCCTAATGCCTATGTTGTTATTAAAAAATAATCAATTGGTGTATATAATTGAGCGAAGCTCTTATACGTCGACTCTTATGCATTTCGTAATACGCAAACTCCTCCTAGACGGCTGAATCAATCGTTTTCAAATTTTGCATGGTGATAAAGACCATATCGGTGAGTGCCAACATCTATATGGTGTTAAAAAAGTCTCTCAGGAATCCGCCCCACTGGGTCTCAAAGTTTCAATGTAACCTTTATGGAGGCAGTATTTGACACATAAACAAAGACATATGATCAGCTGTTGACTTTTGAATGCAGTAGATAAAGAAATAGCTGATAGCATTATTCCACAGAGAACAGAAACGGTATGGATCATAAATATAATCAAATGACGACACTAGCTTGAGGTCCGTGGCGTATGATGTGGTGAAGGAAGTAGTAAAGGTGAGTAGTCTGGAGTGTGGAAACTGTTAATGACGATAAGATTAAGGTATCTGCAATCCTAAAATGCTATGGGAAGGGAGGAAAACAGGTCCGCGACGTAGGAAGTGGCGATGGAAGTTGTCAAGGCGAGATGTCCGGAGTGTGGGAACTGTTTATGACGATTAGATTAAGTTATCTGCAATCCTAAAATGCTATGGGAAGGGAGGAAAACAGGTCCGCGACGTAGGAAGTGGCGAAGGAAGTAGTAAAGGCGAGCAGTCTGGAGTGTGGAAACTGTTAATGACGATTAGATTAAGGTATCTACATTCATAAATGCTATGGGAAGGGAGGAAAACAGGTCCGCGACGTAGGAAGTGGTGAAGGAAGTAGTAAAGGCGAGCAGTCTGGAGTGTGGAAACTGTATATGACGATTAGATTAAGATATCTGCATTCCTAAAATTCTATGGGAAGAGAGGAAAACAGGTCCGCGACGTAGGAAGTGGTGAAGGAAGTAGTAAAGGCGAGATGTTCGGAGTGTGGGAACTGTTTATGACGATTAGATTAAGGTACTGTATCTGCAATCCTAAATTACGGAAAGGGGGGGAAACAGGTTCGTGACGTAGGAAGTGGTGAAAGAAGTAGTAAGGTGAGCAGTGTGGAGTGTTGGAACTGGAAACCGTTTCAGCAGTTTTAATGTATCTGCAATGCTGAAATACTATGAGAAGGGATGGAATCATGCCCTCGACAAAGGAAATGGTGAAAAAAGTAGTAAAGGCTAGCAGTACGGAGTGGGGGAGTGTTTGTGGCAATCAGATTAACGTATCTAAAATACTAAAATGCTATGTAAAGTGATGAATACAGGTCCACGACATAGGAAGTGGCTTAGGAAGTAGTAAAGTATGAGCATCAGCATAGTGTGAGATCCGTCTGTGGCAGTTAGATTAATGTATCTTCAATAGGTACTAAAATGAAAATGCTATGAAAAGGGAACGAAACAGGCCCCACGACGTAGGAAGTGGTGAAGGAAGTAGTAAAGGCTGGCAGTGCAGAGTGGGGGAACCGTTTGGGCTGTTAGATAAATGAATCTGTAATACTTAAATGCTATGACTGCTATGAGAAAGGAAGGAAACAGGTCTATGACGTAGTAAATGGTAGTAAGGCTAGCAGTGCAGAGTGTGGGGACAGTCTTTGGCAATTACATTAATGTATCTGCAATCCTAAAATGCTATGGGAAGAGAGGGAAACAGGTCCACGACGTAGGATGTGGTGAAGGAAGTAGTAAAGGTGAGCAATGTGTTGAGTTTGGGAATGGATTAATGTATCTGCAATGCTAAAATGCTCCAGTAAGAGACTGTAGACTGTATGTTAAAATGATTACGAATCAAAATCGATACATATTTTCGGCAATCGTTTACAATCGAAATTTACAAACTGAGTTGACAACAGCTGATTTTTACTCCATAGATGCTTAAAACGATTTTTACTCCCTAAATATAAAAAATGCTACTTTAGACTCGCAACGCATGCATTAAAAACTACTGTTTTTACTACAGTATGAGAAAAACAATATAATATGAACCCTTGATTACTCCGCTCAATTTTGTGGATGTCTCTGCGAACACCACCTAGTATACTAGCTGTACCCGCGGGCTTTGCCCCGTTTAACTTCGTAAGTAAGCACGTTTCCCATGTTCAATAACGTCCTGGTTGAAGTTCGTTCGCTACGCTCACTCACCTTTAGGTTGGAGCTCGTTTGCTGCGCTCACTTGCCTTCAGGTTAGCTCGTTCGCTACGCTCACTCACCTTTTGGTTGCAAATTAGCTGTTGTCACAAATAAAAAAAAAATAATAATGCTGCACCCTGTTGGTAATCCTTGTAACTTTAATGCTATTGAACATCATAGAACAGAACCAACTTGTTTAATTGAAACAGCTGTTAAGATTCAATTCCATTTAAATGTGAGTACTCATAAGGTTAACATGGGAAACTCCAGAGTCACTGGGGCGGAGCCCGAGAGTCCTATCAGAATAAAAACAACTTAGTTTTTCTATTTAATGCCTAAAGAATCAGTGTACCAAATTTCAGCCCCCTAGGTAAATGGGAAGTAAGAGAATTAGTGATGAGTGAGTGAGTGAGTGAGAGTCAGTCAGTGAGGGCTTTGCCTTATATATATATATATATATATAATATATATATAGATTAGTGACTTATTGGGGGTAAAAGTCTAAAGTAAAAATCTGAGTTGTCTTAGTTTTTCTTCATACTTTATAGACTGCAAAATTCTTCTTAAAATAACTTTGATGACGTGTACTTATTTTGCAGCCTCACTCTGTCTTAGACAAAAACTAGGCACTTCAACAAAAACAAATCAGTTAAAAGCTGAAATTTCGTAATTTTCCATGATGTTCTTGTGGAGTGTTTTAAATTTTGTCTCAGTCAACTATTAGCAAAACTATCTTTACCTTGAAAAAATGGGTTGCGAATTATGAATACAGTAGGTTCACCTCCCATTGGGAACTAGTCAAACTGCAATTATTTTTCTTTGAAACATTTGTGTCTCATAAACAGAGAGTGTCAAAGTCATGGAATAGAAAAAATATATTTTTTGCAAGGAATATGTTCAAAATTTTGCTGTGATAAAGTCTAGAAATTTCTTATGTTGAGAAAATTATTTATTTATTTTTAATCAAATAAATAGTTAGTAGTTCAATCCAAGGGAGAAGCATGACCTAATTTTTTGTATGATGTCAAACAGTTAGATTTTCAACAAGTTACCCATATTTTTGAGGTTGCTGCAATAATATCGTTTGCAGGTAGTCTTTGTATACACTCTTGAATCTGCTGGGAGTTCCCGATGGGACAGTTGAGCAGTTTGGCAAACCTTCTTGAGAGAGGAATGGGATATCTGTTTAGTACTGCTGGAGTGGTAGCACTGCAGCTAGAGGAAATGGCTCGATGAAACAAACCTGCAGCAAAGAAAATGTTTATCCCTACTGTGGGAAGAAGTGAGAAGTGTAGTTAATAATATTATACTAGATAAATCATAATATAGCACTGTGTGGCAGTACGGATTAAGCATTTCATTTTGCTTGGTATTAAAACAGTGGAGGGGGCTAGATGCAGAAACTGGTCTTGTCAGGGAGTCACATGGTTTATTGGCCCCCAGGGTGGGATGTTGTCAGGTGCCTCTCCTCCCCCTGAACACACAATGAGTGATGCTCGTAGCGGGTCTGAGACATCATCTATTGCGGAGGCGGAGACAACATTATCGTCCTCCACATTCGCAGCGAAATCCTCAATATGTTAAGATAATATAGCCACTTTCCTCAAATACCTTAAAATCAAGATTATCTCCAGTAGCTGTAGCCCATGGATATCATCATCGTCATGGGTGATCGCGGCAAAATCCTGAATGGAAATGTACCGTAGTCACCGTCCTCGAAATTGCAGCAAAACCAAGAATATCTCTCGGTAGTGTGAAAACCATAATTTTCTTCCTGGATTGCATGAAGAATCAGAATATTTTCAGCAGTAACAGAAATGTAGCCATTGGCCTCCGCAGTCGCTACAAAAATGAGCTTATCTCCGTCGGTTGTGTAGACATCATTATTGTCCTCTATGATTTTGGCCAAATATAGGTCATCCCCCACAGTCTTGGAAACATGACCATTGTTTTCCGCGATCACAGAAACGCTATTGTTCTCGATCACGGCGAAAGCGTGATCTTAAAGGACGCATTTATTTACAGACAGCCAAAACCGCCAAAACATTGCAATTTTAGTAAAAGCTTGGCTCAAGATAGATTTTCTGACTTGGTAATTGATCTCTCAAACTTGCCAAAAATCAAGCTGCTCGCACACCTCTACGTTATGTACTTCTAACATATTTTTTCAAATTGTTGTGCTACTTTTGCCGGGACACCTGGGGTGTCCTTATAAGCCGCCACTTCTGATGGTCCCCCTGCCCAAGGCGCCCAGTGCGATAGCTCTTCTTTGCCTGTTTTTAACACCAGACAACGACACTGTTCCTATTGCTAACACCATATGATTGTGGGTAAAAAAGCTGGAAAGAAGTGGCAGGACTTTTAAAACTGGAAAACACAAATGACAATTTATTAGTGAGAACAATGGAAAATGTTGATTTGGTCAGAGTAGCAGTTGAATAGTCGCCAAGAGGGTTGTTGGGAGGCATGCATTAAAAAAATAAGATCGAAGTTAAAAACAAATTCTTAAATTATAATTTGCGTTTTCGTCCATATCAAATTGTGACGGGCTGATAATAAAAAAGAATCAGATTAAAAGCAAAAACTCTTGTGTCAAAAGACTCTCCGCTAGTAATTTACTTGGGAACGTCTTGGTGAATTGCTGCGCTGACCAACTGAAAAACTCAAAAACTGCTGTTGTTGTCAGTGCTTTTCAGAGTTAAGAGTGCTACGATTTTCTTCTATCTTTGTAACCCACGATCGGTTTGTTAATGCACTAGGAACAGGGTAGTTTCATGGGATAATAAACCATCGGCAAAAAGCCATTTGTGGCACGATCATTAAGTTGTTGTTTTAGAAGATATGCACAAACCAAACAGCACATCCTTAGTGCTTTTTGGTACATACCAAGGTGGTGCCTGAAATGGAATGACTGGTTGATGACAGCCCAACATTGTCTGCATTCCCTATCACAGCCTGGAGTACTATGGGAGTCAATCTGATTAATTCTAAGTCAACTCTATCAAACCTTAGGTTTCTATTTAATATCTAGACACAGTTGTTTGACACAATTCAGGGTCTCCATACAAAGTGCAGTTTACCTACCTCTAGAGAGAGGCGAGAGCATGTGCAGTTACACACTGCCTCCACCAGCGCTGTAGCCAAACAATGTTACCGAGTCAGGGTCTCCATACAAAGTACAGTTTACCTACCTCTAGAGAGAGGCGAGAGCATGTGCAGTTGCACACTGCCTGCACCAGGGCTGTAGCCAAACAATGTTACCGAGTCAGGGTCTCCATACAAAGTGCAGTTTACCTACCTCTAGAGAGAGGCGAGAGCATGTGCAGTTGCACACTGCCTGCACCAGGGCTGTAGCCAAACAATGTTACCGAGTCAGGGTCTCCATACAAAGTACAGTTTACCTACCTCTAGAGAGAGGTGAGAGCATGTGCAGTTGCACACTGCCTGCACCAGCGCTGTAGCCAAACAATGTCACTGAGTCAGGGTCTCCTCCAAAATGCTTAATGTTCTCTTTTACCCATCTGTGGGAAAATACAATGAATGTTGTTAGCTATTACAATATAATCTTAAACAATGTCATTGTTCAGTTTGATATAGTAGATTTAAACTATAAATAGAACTAGAAAATCCAATCCTATGTTTTTACTAGGGAGAGGAGGGAATGTTATTTTTGTAACTTGTGCCACTTTGCTCTTGAGTTACACATTACAGTATATTTTTCCTACAGTTACTATAAAGCTAATAAATAATTCGTTTTTCTAACACTAAACAACAAGTTTTAGGTTAGGTAAAATCCAAGCGTTACACGAAAATAGAATGTTAACACAAAACAACTGTTAAGTCGTAGTAACAAAATTCAAAATTATGTGAAACGCTTCACCAGCTTGTGATGATGTGGTGTAGTATGAGTGTAAATGAAGATACCTGGGCCCTATATATCTTCCTCTAACCACTGCCAAATCACGCACATTTCCTGTCGAAACCCAACTCTATTGCAAGGAATTAATTTAGCTCGTCAAAGTGCACAATATTACCTTAGCTGCCTATCACAGCCAGCTTTTATGTTCATAATGTATCTAATTATAATATAATGAACAGAGAAATATATATATATGGACTTATTCTAATTCGTGAAAAAGGTTACTAGACTTAGCAAATGTGAATTCTAATTTACGATATTAATTGCCAGACCACGACCCTTCGAGAACCTAATAAACTACATGATTGAATTACTTTTTGCCCCAACCTACACCCTTTCCCCAACCCCTACTTCTATTAGCTAGACATCTTAGGCTACAGTCTACTTATCCGATCAGATGTACAGCTCCAGGCGCTCGACACTACACTGAACTCGTCTCTTGGTTCGCTGCGCGTGCCTACCCGGGTCGACTGCGCGCGCATCGTGGTCACGTGACTTGCGCTATTGTAGCGGTCCGCTACATCCTCCCCCCGGTGGGGTTGTTTTTTTTTTTTCTTTTCCTAGTTTTGGGGTGATTTTGGGGTTTGGGAAAGATGAAGGACGAAGAAATTTTTTTTTTTTTTTTTTTTTTTTTTTTTTTTGTGCTCGCCGTGAGATTGTGTCGTTGTGACATCGGTGTCGGTGTGGGAATGTTCCAACAGTTTTCTGCACTCCTTTTGGTTTGACTCATTTGAGGTTATAATGTGTGTCGGTCTTGCTTATAAACTATTAACTATTTTTTTTTTTCTAAACTAAAGGTGACTATGGTTTTGAATGAATTTCTTATAACTATGTTTGGTGGGATTGCTTAATCTAAACCTGCTCTAAAAAAATGTGGGCGGGCGTATATCAGTGATAGATTTAATTAAGTTCGGTTGAGAAAGATCTGTTGGTTGATGAAGTTGGATATATGATTGATGATGATGAATTTGGGAATGTTGTCGAAATAGTGAGGGTTGATGAAATTTGATGGTTGTATTGAATTCTGGTAATTGCTGGTAAATTTGGAAGGTTGCTGAAGTTTGATGAGTTTCTTGAAGTTGAGTATTTGGAAGAATGAAGTTGTGTAAACTGAAGAATGAAGCTGGAGTAGTGTTCTGAAGTTCTTGAAGGTATACTGTTGTGATGTGATGTGACGTAATTTCGTAATTAGCTCTTGAGCCCTTACTAAATTCGGGGCGCTAATTATATCGCTGGACGCCTCTTAATGGTGGATGAAATGCGTTGGGTTTTGAAGTTGATATGAGGTTGATGATACGTTTACTCAGATGTGAATTTGGAGATTGTTTTGATTGAAGATTAATTATTTTGATGTTAGTTATCACTGATATATTCCCTAAATATTCGGTAAAAATTGATCGCGACTACTCTACTTAAGTTTACTATTGATACTTATGATCTAAATGAATTTACTAATAATAAGAAATTGTTCTACTTAATTTAAAAAAAGGAATTTAATTTACTGAGTATAAAAGGGAAAAAATCTAATGTTTATCTACTTAAATGCTATGGATTTGATTGACTGGGAGATATATTACTAAGTTTCTGTTGATTTACTAATAATAAATTAATTAACTAGTGTGACACACATTATACACTCTTTCAGTTTGGATGCTATTCATGGTTGAATGGAGTTTCGAAAATCTGTTGGTTGATGTAAGGAATGATAGTGTTATTGTAAGTGTATATTCATTCGAAGCTCCTCTAGTGCCAATTATCAAGAATTATGCACAGAGGTATTAAATAATAATTATTTATTTCACCGACGGCTTAGCACAATTTAATTTTTTAAACAAATATTGTTTTAATATTTTCCTTCAATGTGAAGGATTGATCGGTGCTTGGTTTGATTATTTATATAGGGCGGAAGTAGAGGTTTGAATGGAACAGATGTTTGTACTGATAACGACGGTGTTATCTCGTGCCTGGCGCTTGCTATTGTCTGTTTCCTACTAGTCCATTTCCTTCTCTGTCGCTCAGCAACATAAATATATTTATCTATATTTTTGTATTTTATTTTAACGCATGCAAGTGTATAACACATAATAAACATTTAAATTACCCTTTATAAATATATAATACATAAACTCTTCTTCTACGCTCAGAATTCTGCTTGTTATTTACAAACATATGGATTGTCGTGTGCGCTGTTATCTACTTTGATAACGATTGTATTACGCCTAAATACCATATATCTTATTTTAATATACGTGGATGACTTTACTTACTTAATACTTTTTATGTAATGTTGTATTTACCTTTGCGATTCAATTGCTTATATTAACACAGAAATACTTAATTTTACTTAATTCTACTTAGCCTAATTGCCATAGTTTAAGTCTAGCTTGGTCTGTAGTCAGTTGTCTGTATCGTTCCAGTGTTGTCATTTTTCAGTCCAGTACTTTTAGTGAGTGTTTGTTGTCATAAGTAAACTGTCGGCTGCACTATTCATATGACAGTTGCAATCTGTCATAAGAATGTGTTATGGCGAACGATTCCCGTCATAGCCAATTTGAGCAAATTAAAAATAAAAAATTACTTAAAAAAAATTAGTCGTTTGCTCAGATTGTAAGTTTTAAGGGGATTGAAAAAGTTGTTGATTACTGGGGTCTGGAAATGCATATATTAAGTACAAACACTATGACGTGTTTCGCTGCCAACTTGCCACGTGTTGTCGCTTCCGGCTTTCCGGCCAAGCGGTGCATCGAGAGGTGTAGCCGCACCCTCTGTGAAGGTACGGCTTAGACTCAACTCCCAACACCCTATCAGCCGGGGCCGGAGTTGTATTGTGTACCGTATTGTTGAGAAGTATTGTTGCGAAGTATTGTTGTAGTCAGTTACTCGAGATTTCTTGCTAGATGTTCACTTATAACTAATTAAACTAGGCTAAGGTTCTATTGTGCACTCTGACGACGTTTATTTAATAAATTGGTTGAAAAAATCGTTTCAATTGTGAAATGTGGGCTTTTGTCACAATCTTACCTGTTGAGGGGTTTACCAGCTTTACTGACACTGGTGATGAGAAACTGTCAATCACGCACGGTTTTGACCAGGCGTATTGGAGTTTATAATTGACGTTGTCTATTGCTTTGGACTGTGGGTGCATTTTATACATTACCCAATCGCCTACTTTGTAAGGATTGGGTTGACGACCGCTGTTATAATATTGTGTGCGTTTTTCTCTTGCCTTCCGTAGGTTATCAAGTGCATGTTGCCAGCGATTGTCTGTGGTTGGTTGAGGTTCTTCCCCAATTTTGAATTTTGATTTTTTGGTCGTGGCCTGTAAACTACACTGATGTGCACTTTGACTCCTAATTTTTTGCTTTCCGTAATAAAAATATTCATCAAACACTCATTCGGCCTGTCGTCGAGGTATATTTAGTTTAATTACTGCCCTTCAGACTTGATGTCGAACTCGTGAGTGATTACATAAATGCATTTAAATATATTCATCAACTTGGTTTAGTAAAATATTAATAAAAAACATCAAGGTTCTCCTAATTCTACTTTGAAATTAAAACATTCTCATTAAAATTGATTTTTAAATTTTCCTTGGAAATAAAATAAATTGAATGATATTGATTCACATTTCATGACGTGCCTAGCTATGCATGCTCGTGCGTTCCAGGCCGCCACGTGGTGCCGACCTGTAACCTGTCGATTTCCTGTCTGAACAAAGCACCTGGCTGGTCTGAGACACGTTTTAATCTATTCTATTTCTGTTAAAATTGCATTTTTGGCCGGATCTTGACGCTCTGCTACCACTATGTGATGATGTGGTGTAGTATGAGTGTAAATGAAGATACCTGGGCCCTATATATCTTCCTCTAACCACTGCCAAATCACGCACATTTCCTGTCGAAACCCAACTCTATTGCAAGGAATTAATTTAGCTCGTCAAAGTGCACAATATTACCTTAGCTGCCTATCACAGCCAGCTTTTATGTTCATAATGTATCTAATTATAATATAATGAACAGAGAAATATATATATATGGACTTATTCTAATTCGTGAAAAAGGTTACTAGACTTAGCAAATGTGAATTCTAATTTACGATATTAATTGCCAGACCACGACCCTTCGAGAACCTAATAAACTACATGATTGAATTACTTTTTGCCCCAACCTACACCCTTTCCCCAACCCCTACTTCTATTAGCTAGACATCTTAGGCTACAGTCTACTTATCCGATCAGATGTACAGCTCCAGGCGCTCGACACTACACTGAACTCGTCTCTTGGTTCGCTGCGCGTGCCTACCCGGGTCGACTGCGCGCGCATCGTGGTCACGTGACTTGCGCTATTGTAGCGGTCCGCTACAAGCTGATTGTAGTCGTAGTATCTTTAAGTGCTGCCAACTTATTTCCAAGCGTACCTAATGAAAGCACACTGTTTTGTGTTGTTTGGTTGGAATACTGGAATGTAGCACATAAAAATGAGCTCAGGAAAAAAATTAGTGTGGCAAAAGTAAGTAAATGCAGCAATTAGCTACTTATGGTGCTATAATCAGTGCAAGGAAGTCTGCTTTAACAAAGGACAATCCCAGGGCTTTGTGTTGGTCAAAAAATAAGTAGAAAAACTCCTGAAATGGGGTTGAAAGAAGAAGAGTAAAATAAAAGACAAAATGTTTTGAGGGCCAAATTAAAGAGAAGAATCCCTAGCTTTTGAAAAAATTTGGGAGCATTGAGTGAGGAATCTTCCAACCCCTGTTAGTCACTTGTTACCACAAGCGGGAAACGCTAGGGTCCTATTATATCCCGGGAAACCACACAAGGAAAAGACCAATCCCATGTTTTTAAATTATAGACAGTTTTAGAATCAAAACTAACGTAGATGACTTAAAAGCCTCTGACAGAGTGTGCTCCTATTTAATTACCGATTTCTGCTATACAGGGTGAACAACTTAGCTGTGCCACCAATGGTATCTCAGAAACTATTAGATTTTGAGAAAACATTAATGGGGAACTTATTTTCTTATGTCATTCAAAACTGTGTGTTCAGTACTTATTTTAAAGTCCCTAGACTGGTCCCTACCCTACCCGACATTATCAACGGGGAGTCGTCCCCACTCCGACCACTGGAGACGCTCCTCACTAGCATTGCCGATGTCCCTACCTATACCACAAATCATATTATTTGGACTTTCAATCACATTGTAATTACAGTTTTAACTTCATTTTATGTTAATCTTAAATTCCTAATACACCTGTCATTTTAACTTCACCAGTGTTAGTCATTTCCTTTGTTGCTGCCTTCGCACCATTGGTCTACACCGCTTCCATCCCCTGGACTACCCACTACCTTGAACGAGACGTCATCCACCTTCGAGACCTCCGACAAGGTAACGGTAGCACCAGAATTAATTTGTTAGGTTCAAACCGCCTTACGGCTAAAGACCGTACATTATAAATTAGACTTTTTATAAAATGGCCACCATTTTCCAATAGTATTCCACAGCAGCACAAACTCTATTGAATGATAGTTGTCTGGCGTACGATCTGACTTTAGATCGGGTTTTTGGTGCTTCTTTTTGAACGCAGAAGGTGTTGTTCTAATGTTAGTTACCACCGCATGATTGTGGTACGCGACGGAACTTCTTCTCCACTTCGCCTTGCCCCTAATTAAAAGAATGCATAGAACTGTTGCTAAGTTGCAATGACTGAATCATTACTTTTTAAATACCACTCGATAACAAATGCAAGTAGCTCAGGCCACCTCTGCTCTATGACTGCAGATAGCAGTGTGTAGGCTTTCCAATAAGACTAACCCCACCCCTCTCAGACGACTTATCGCAGGTCAAAGGGCTGCAGAAAATAAATCGCTTTTTTGCCGCAAACTTTATATTGATTTGGATGAATATTGTATATTTCCTTAATTTACCGGTATATTTAAAATTTGTTATGTTTCATTTCATATTTTATCTTAATAAGAGTTTTATAAGATGTAAAATTTCAACTACTTTTTTCAGTTAGAATAATAAGCTACTTTGACTTAACTTAATACACCCGCCACAGCAAACCTGGAGACTAAGCGAATTTCCATTTGCCTGAATTGATTTTAAATTAATAACATTTGGTTTAACGATTACCTAGGTTTGCTGCTACAGGGAGGCTAATAAATTGTGTTGTTTGATAAAATATTAGTAGCTTAGTATAAAATAAACAAATTTGCTAAGTTTGATCAAAATATTTCCATAAACAAGCAAACTACAACATTTTACAATATTCTCCCTAAGAGGGAATTATAAATTAGCAATTTTTGGAATTTTCTTTGTAGACAGTAACCGTACAAAAACACCTTGATATAATAAATTATTTGTTTTTCAAGCTCTTTCAAATGGTCCAGAGAGAAATTGTGAAATTTTGTATTTTAAGGGTCAAAAATGAGGAAAACCTATTTTTACCCCATACAATTCCGGTAAAACCCTGTTCCCATGGTCCGGTCATGCTGGATCGCGAACTCATTCAAGTTCATCCCGCCACCTTTAAACAAAATTTAATCAAAATTGGACAAAAATTACTCAATTTATCGCGTTCACGGACATATATATATATAATTATGATAAGTATATAATTATAATTATTATATAATATGTACAATAATACGGTATGTATAATTATATATAATAAAATATATAATAAAAAATTTCAACGAACAGTGTTTTTGGCCTCTAGGGCCATCAAAATGAAAAAGTATATCGGTCCCGGCTCCAGGTCTTACCGTACCACCTATGGTAACAGCTACTTGCCCATAGGGAAATTCGTTAAAAGAAATTAATAAATGTAAATTACTTCATAACAAGAAGCTGATCCTTAAGACCGAAGTTTCCTGGGATTACTTCATCGCCAGTGCTGTAGAATCCTGCAGAATCACAAAAATATTATGTTATTGTATTCGAGAGTTAACAAAAATTAAACTAAACAAAGATAAATTTAAATTCAGTTGTAAACATGTTCACATTTTGTTGAAATGTACCTTAACTAGTTAAAGAATCCAACATAAAACCTAAAGTTATTTTAGAAGCTTAACGATTTCAAGCAATCATTGATGTTTGAGCTCCACCATATTGATTGAATTTTCATTGATCACATGAGGTTTAGCAAATAATTTGCTGTTATAGGCATCAAAGTAATTCTACTAATCCTAGTAAGTAAAATTTAATATATTTGTACTAAGAACCCTTACGATTCTTTAACATGGTAGGAATATTAGATGTTATAGAATAGTAGGCCTAAACTGTACTATATAGTTAACACAATTCTTTCTTGTTACTTAATTATAATAGAGAATGAATTATATAAATGATTCCATTTCTATATATGAATCTTTCAATAAACTAAAATGCATACAAATTAAGAGAAAGAGTACTGGTGAACGTGATAGTGGCTTACCTAGTGGTCCCAGTCTATAATTAGAAGACACTAGAACAATATCCTTGTCTAAGAGGTATTGAGGTCCTGTGTAGTTGTTGTTGCCGGTCCCCCCAACAAACCCTCCAGGGTGGAAATATATCATCACTGGTTGCTTTCCTCTCAACTTAAATGAAAAATGGTAAAAAGTTATTTTTAATTTTTTTGGCAGAGCGAGGTAATTGTAGTGTTGTTTCTTTTGAGAGCTAAACAACTTAAAAATCAACATCATTGACTTTGTGGATAATACTGTTAGAAGCACACATCCCATGTATACATGGACCAACTTAGCATGTTTTTTTAGTTAAATAGCCTATAAAACCATAGACTAACCAACACAAGTAGACTTCTCATTCCATTGTACATTTTGAAGCTCGTTTTTTGTGTCTAATTCATGTTGGTGACACTGATTGCTAGTGTTGACTAAATTTTGTTTATATTATTTTAGGGTTATTTCATGATTTGTTTCTTATGCGAAAAGAATAAGAATATATTTATTTCCAAAATTACAAATCAGAGATTACAATCGTGGCTTAAAACAAATGTACAAAGGAAAAAAAATCAATCAAGATTCAAGTTCATCAATCGAGATCAATCAAGCTATTACAAGCATATAGCTTGTTATATCAAGCAAAAACTCAGAGAATAAAGAAACCCATAAACAATGTTGACTTGCATGATAGTTTAGTTTTAAAGAGGAAACTCATGGAAGACAGCATCTTTACAAAGAAATAAGAGACATTTTGTCTAAAAAAGTATCCTAATTTTGCTTTGCATTCTTTACTTTCATCAGCAAAGGGTTGGGCATCCATACTATTTTAAGTGCTTCTGGCTGTTGTTTTACTCACAGTCTTGGTGTGGACGTTGAGGAAGAGGCAGTCCTCAGATGAGGGCAGCTCAGCTGGCAATCCAGGCTGTAGACAGAGAGGTCCGTCTTCCATTGCATCCTTTATTTGGGGCCAGGGTCTCACTGGTACAGGGTCCTGACAGTTTGGTAAAACATTAAAATTAGTCTACGCTGAAAATATTTATCTGCTCTTTTTTAGTAGTGTGGCCTACAATCTATAATCTTGATTTTTAATAACTTCTTGTAAAAAATTGCAGAGAAAATGATTAACCCAAGTTTCAAAAAAACAAATAGACTATTAAACTCTTATAAAAAATATAAAGTATAAAACATAAATACCCCTGCCGCTCAAAGCTGCAGACTAAGCAAATTTCCATTTGCCTGGTTGGATTTTCACTAAAATATCTCCTTAAAAATGTCATGAACTTTTGAACGATGGACCAAAGACTTAGGAGGCAATACAAAATGAAGGATGGCGTAGTGCAGTGAATGAAGAACTAAACTGTCTACACAGAAACAAAACTTGGGATTTGGTTGAAGCTCCTAAAGACGCTAAAATCATTGATTCTCGGTGGATTTTTCGGTAAAAATCTGTTAATGGCAACCTAGTTAAGAAAGCTCGGCTTGTTGCTTGCGGATTTCTTCAGGGTGAGATGTCATGTGAAGAAATATTCGCTCCGGTAGCACGCATGATTACAGTAAGAATTTGACTTTAAATTTTGGTTGTGCATAGTTTGTTTTTTTGTCAATTAGATCTAAAGTGTGCATTTCTTCATGGAAATCTAACCAACAATTATGAAAACTTACCTTACAAACAACTATTAGGAAGTTAAAGTTTAATATATCTCATGTTAGGTACAAGACCAGATCTGAGTTACTCTGTTCTGTTACGTACTTCAGCACCTTTCAAAACTGTTATGACATAGGACATTGATTGGAAGAACTTAAAGAGTATTGTGAGGTACTTAATTGGAACCAAGGATTTGACGCTGACCTATTACAAAAATAGCAAAACCGAAAAACTCATTGAATGCTACTGCGATGCAGATTTTGCTAATAGTATTGAAGTAGGAAGAGTATCAGTGGTTATATGTTTAAAATATTTTGCAACACAGTGGATTGGAAAACTAAGAAACAACCAAAAGTGGCTCTTTCCACTTGCGAAGCGGAATATATTGCCTTGGCTACATGTGCAACGGAGTGTGTGTTCATAACAAGATTATTATCAGAAATACTACTTAAGGTTCAAATAATTCCGGTTGTTATTTGGGAAGATAACCAGTCTTGCATAAAAATAGCTAAGACACTTGAAGCTAAGAGATCCAAACATATTGATGTGCGATTCCATTATACAGGGTGTCCTGTAAGTAAACAGCCAAACTCCGGGAAATGGTTCTATGGGTAAAAATAAAGAGAAAATAAAAAATAACATTTTTTCTCAAAATCGCTTCGTTAAAAAGATATCAGCCATTTTGTAATTATACATAAACATTTTTATTTTTGAAATTTTTCAACCGATCTTTATGAAATTTGGTATGTAGGTTAAGGTAAAAAAGACCAATGTTAGGGGAAAAATAATCTTGATTCAACTTAAAATTTCAAAATGGCGGCCATTTTTTTACTTAAATTACTCAAAAACGGCTAATGTTATGAAAAAATGTCATGAACACTTTTATCATTGAGTATAAACATAACATGTTCGTTTAAAGGTATAAGGTGGGATAAACTTGAATGAGTTTGCAAACTAGCATGATCGGACCATGAGAACAGGGTTAGGGGTTCTATTGGGTAAAAAATGGTTTTTATAATTTTTAACCCTCAAAAATAAAAATTTCCTAATTTATCTCTAAACCTTTTTTAAGAAATAAAAAACAATTAGTACATCAAAGTAATTTTTTACGGTTATTAGTGACGGAGAAAATTAAAAAAAGTTTTAATTTTAAATTTCCATGTTATTATTATGGAGAATATTATAACATGTTGTAGTTTGCTTGTTTATAGATATATTTTGATAAAACTTGGCAAATTGTTTTATTTTATACTAAGCTAAGCTATTAATATTTTCCTAAAAAACACACTTTATAGTTTCCTTGTAGCAGCAAACCTGAATGGTTTGACCCCCGTACTATGAATGAGACAAGATATCTAAAGCTGTTAAGAGAGAATAACTACATCAGAGAGTTGGCTGCCCGGATCAATAATGTTTACGTGGTCGATCTCTCACATCTTCAAAAATTCCATTTTAGTGGGCTACATATTAATCGGAGAGGAAAGTCTGAACTGGCATACACGACCATCAATATCCTCAATACCATTTTTGGACCACAGAGTAATGACTCATTTCATGGTGTTGGCAACCAAATTCAAGTCAGTGATGTACATATGAGGAGTGTAATTTCAAGAAAAGGCAATCTACAAACGAAAATTTAAAAAAACAAGATTAATGTCATTGAAGCTAGCATGTGGGATGTAATTAATGCAAACAAAATTACATCCCAAATCAAATCAAAATTACATCCCCCCTACTACAGCATTTGCCCATACCATTTTGAGTGACCTCCAACACCACAAACATATGTCTGCTGGGGTAGCAGTCGTATTTCGAAAGATAATTGGTCGGCCAAAACAGACAGACTACATCAACACAAGATTAATATGCCAGACTGAACCAAGTGGTGCTACAGTGTACGGTCTAGTTACAAAAGAAGAATACAAAGGAAAGCCAACTGAATCAACTTTTATGATGAGGCTTTTGAACAGCTAATTGAAAATTTCAAAACAAAAAACTGAATACTCTAATATGCTCTGCCATGGGTTGTGTTCGAGACTTAATACCTATTAATCACTTTGTAAAAAACATTACAACACTGCACAAAATTACAAATGCTACAATATGTGTGGTGTCGTATGACCAACCAGCTGCTCAGCGGAAATTATGGCGTGGACTCTCACAATCTGAGTTTTTAGAGGAGATGAAAAAAACTATTGATAGAAGCAGCCATGAAGTGGCTTCTCCAGCAGTTCAACCTGACACCTGTGAACAGCCTGTAATACCTGAGATGACAAGTAATCCACAGCAGCCCTCGAATGCTACACCGAACACTGATGTCTCATCCAGCACCACTACCTCTACCCTGCCACTGACGCCTGCTGCTGACTCCCCAACACCTGTGCTGGTTCCTGGTCATCTGCAGTTTAGTGAGGTGGTGAAGTGTTCAGTGGAAAAGCAGAGCAGTGTGAATGTGCCCCAGTTTCTAGCAGCCTCCAAACCAACATCTATTTTAAATATCCCAAATCCCGCATCACAGAGAGAGCCCAAATCAACCCGACCTTTAAAATCACAGATTCCTTAGTCACCTCCACCAAGATAATTGCACCTCTTTCTATTCTGCACCATAACACCACAACACTTACCATCTCGCCTTGATCTTCTAGAAATTTTTCTTAACGAAATAAATCGAGATATTATTGCACTCAGTGAGCATAAGATGACAAAAGAGGAAATAGAATTACTTAACATATGTAATTACACAACAGCATCCTACTTCTCTAGAAGATTGGGGCGAGGTGGTGGTGTAATAATCCTAACCCACAAAAATATAAATCACAAATGTATTGATTTACCTTCTACTCAACCACTTTTAATGGAAAAAAGAGTGTGAATATTGTTTGTCTGAGATCAGTACTCACAACTTTACTTTTTTGTTTGGATGTATTTATAGGTCTCCTAACTACTTGAACTTGGACCAATTTGTTGATAATCTGGAAACTCTCTTAAACATACTGTGTAAAAAATTATAATTGCTGGTGACTTTAACATAGATGTTTTGAAGAAAGATGATAATTATAATAAATTTATTAATATTTTAACAATAAATGGAATGAGATATACAGTTGATTTTCCGACCCGAGTAACAGAACATTCAAAAACTGCAATTGACAATTTTATTACAAATATAGATCTTCACAATTTACAAGTAACTGGGTTAATTACGCACACCTCAGACCATGATGGTCAATTGATGAAACTGAGAATCACTGACCACAAAAAGCCAAAGCCAATAAGAAAACAAGTGAGAAAATTTAATGAAAAAAATACAGAACGTTTTCTTAGAGGTTTAAGGTCTGAGTCCTGGTCTCAGATTTTCAATCTATTGTTGAGATGAAGTATAATGTATTTTGTAACAGATTTAAGTATAATTTTGAGGTAAATTATCCTAAACTTTATGTAACAGAAAATTTTTGTAAACCAAAGAAGTGGGTTAATGATGTATTAAAATTAAAACAATCTGAAATAGTTGATTTGGAATCTCAATTCAGAATGCTTAAAGAAAATAACATTAAGATACAGATTAAGGAAAAGAAAAAAGAACTAAAGAGAGAGATTATCAACAATAAAAAAACATACTTTGAGGAAAAAATTTTGAACTCTAGAAATAAGGTGAAAACTACCTGGAACTTAATTAACACTGAAGTAGGTAAATTATCAAAGTCAAATGTAAACATAAAATTGTTTTATGAAGGTAAATTTTTGACAGATTCTGTAAATATTTGTGAAACTTTTAATACTTTTTTTGTCAATGCTGTAGAAAGTCTTATAGTTCCTAGAACTACCACAGTGTCTCCTGCAAACAATCATTTTATGACTCAGTTTAATACAACTTTTAAATTTGTTACAGTTTCGGAGAGAGATATAAAAAAAACAGTATTATCATTTGAAAATTAACCTTCATCAGGTAATTCAGTTTCATCCCATGTCAGTTTCAGGCAAACCCCTCTTAAATAAAGACATTTTTCATTTAATTTAATTTCATTTCATTTCATGAATTTACCTATTCAAGTAGGCCTAATTCAATATTCATAATGTAATAACTACTACAAACTTATAAAGAATTGTATTATATATAAAAAAAATTAATTAATTTTTTACATATTTTAATATAGGTACTTTAACAACTTCATTTCATTTTCTATTAAAAAATTTAAACATCATAGGCTGTTATTTAAACATGATCGATAAAACCTATTCATCTAGTATATATTAAAATTAAATGCAAGCAAATTTAAAAACGCCCAAAAAAGGGATACAACCCATTAATTAAGATTAAACATAAATAATCAAACAAATTAAACATT